AAAAAAAAAAAAAAAAAAAAAAAAAAAAAAAAAAAAAAAAAAAAACAATAACAAAATTCGATTACAAGAACATGAAAAAAAAAAACAAAAAAAAGGTTATTTATGAAGCGATTTAAACAATAAAATGAAAAATAAAAAAACAAAAAAAATTTAAACAAATTTGAGTCAAATTTATTCTTGAGCAAAAACGGAAACGAGCTCAGGGTATTCACATCTGAGAAAACAACAATTTATAAACTTAATTATTGCACACAGAGAAACAACAAACTTTGTTTTAACACGAAAAACCATAAAGAATTGACTTTTAACTATACAGCTATATATATGTATATATGCATGTATATATTATACCGTACATATTTTTAAATTTAAAATTTTATTGGCACATTTCGAGCCCATTCAAGATACGTTGAAGTACAAAGCACGCGACTTATAATGAATATATATGTATGCATGCATGCATATGATCGTACAACACTTGACAGTTATATTAGAACCGCGTGACTTAACCAAATATACATACGTACATATACATACATATATATATATATAAATATTTTAACTGTGTGTGGCATAAAACGTTGCTCGAGCTGCACTATGCGACAATACTTAAACAAAAATTGTGACGAAAGCTTTATCGCGCACAGACAGAGACACACACACGCACACATGTACATACACATTCAGCTGTTATATGGTACATATAAACATTATTCAGCAATTACACATAGACACATATCATATATATATATATCTAATGTTATTCAGCGTTTGCTTAGTCTGTTTCGGTCTCTTGCCTGACAGACGTCCAATTGATATTTGTTAGGGCTACATTATATATAGGGTATATCTCTCCTTCTCTCTCTCTCTCTATCTCCTTCTCTGTCTACATGTATGTATACATTCTGTTCGTTAATTGAATTAAGTAAGTCACTTATCAGACGCGTGACTAATAGCTAATTGTGTGCGAGTGTGTCTGTGTGTGCGTGCCTCGATTAACCTTACAATTTGCCAATACATTTGCTTTTGTTATTGTTTACTGTTTTGGTTTACATATGCCTTAGCTTCAGCTTTTTTTTTTTATAAATTTACATCTGTTTAGGAGTTGTGGTGTGTCTGCTTGTGTGTGTATATGTATATATATTGTCTTTATTCGTTGTATGACTTACATAGTTTAACAAGTGCGTCTAAATACATTAAGTTAATTGGCTTTATTAGGTTTTAGGTTTTAGGCTTTAAGGGCTAAGTATATAATCACTATCAAATGAAGGATGGTTTGTGTTTGTTTGACTGATTGATTGATTGATGATGGCCCAGAAACTGGGCGCAACTTAAGGAAATTCACATGTTGCACAGCATCCCCGCCTTTGCCTCTCTCTCTTTCTCTCTCTCTCTCTCCCGCTCTCAGCAAGGCGTTTGCAGCTTTGTGCTGCTGCGCGTAAACTTCTTCAGCAGCTTGCTGCTCCACTTGTTGGAGCGCTTCTTGTTCTCCGAATAGGTTGACAGATTGGAGTTGCTAGCGTTCAGTGTGCTCTCCTGTTCCTGCATATGGATGGCACTAACCGACTGCGCATGCCGCAGCGGCTTGCCGGGGCTGCCGAAGTTCAGCGTTAATTTTTGTAAAATTTTATCCTTGCGTTTGATCTTCAGTTCGGGCAACGGCGCCGTTGTCTTGCCCGACATGGATTTGAGCTTTGTATCGTTTAAATTCCAGTCGGATAGATCTGTTACGTCCGCATCGTTGATCAAGAT